TAAAAGGCATTCGAATTCAACCCATTAAAGCAAAAGCAGCCACCGAAGCTCCTCCGTTTTCTTTGTTTCAGCCTCCTGAAGCTGAAGGGTCTGCCTCTGAGGTAATACCCATTTCTTGTTCCCCCACTGAAACAATTTTCAAAATTTAAGATACCATTTTGTTAACAATTAAGTTGTATCCACTTTGTTTTGTGGCCTCTTAACTGAAATTGCATCTTTTAAATGAAAGAAAGTTAGTATCTTCGAAGTGTTTGGTGGTAACCACACAATTATGTTCATAAAAAACCAGAAGAGCATATATGTAGTATTCAACCAATAGGGGAGAAAGCCATGCTTGGTTAAACTTCACTGCAACATTCACACCTTTATTTTGTAATGCCTACAGTTGGAGCCAGCGGACCCTGATTTCTACAAGATAGGGTATGTTAGAAGTATGAGAGCTTATGGAATTGAATTTAAAGAAGGGCCAGATGGGTTTGGAGTTTATGCTTCCAAGGATGTTGAACCACTTCGCCGGGCTAGAGTGAGTTGTTTCTATCCGATTATAATAATCTGTTGCACTTACTATAGAGTGTGTGTGAGTACAGCTCCATGCATAATGCCACATTAAGTGTGATGGTTTTGACAGCCCTTGGTTTATGATGAATTGTTGAGTTCCAATGACTAGTTTTTGGTATTAATGTTGCTTTGTTGTCAATTTCACAGGTAATAATGGAAATTCCACTAGAACTGATGTTAACCGTAAGCCAAAAGCTCCCATGGATGTTTTTTCCAGATATAGTACCAGTGGGTCATCCAATATTTGATATCATTAACTCAACTGATCCAGAGGTAAATGTGTTCTACTTAATTTCAGCTATCAAGGATTGATAGCTGATTTGTATAATCATTCATTTACCGGGAAAATTTTTTTGTCAATTATTCTAGTATTTCTTCATGGAAATAGCATTTTGTTCAAATTATGAATTGACATTCAATTTCTATTGCCTTCCTTTTTGTGGCAGACAGATTGGGATCTGAGGTTAGCATGCCTTCTTTTGTACGCATTTGATCGGGAAGATAACTTTTGGCAGTTGTATGGTGATTTTTTACCCAGTGCAGATGAGTGCACCAGCTTGCTTCTAGCTAGTGAGGTAGATGAATTTACAAAACATAAATCTTTATTTATAGTATTTTTTTAAAATAGAAAAAAACTTGCATAGTTTAGTACCATTTATTTCTTTTGGCTTCATTCACGAGTGATAAAAATAAACATAGGCATGCATCTTTCCTCGTTGATTTATACCTATAAGATCTAGAGCTTTAACATGTATTTGAGGATTGCAATTTTTAGATTTGAGTCTCTTCTTGAGCAAAGCATCAGGTAAAATTTTAGAAGGCCAATTTAAAGCTTAAACTTGAAATTGTCATTTTTTATTAAGATTTGCATCCAAGGCCTTGAGTGTGCCTGATGTCGCAGACACATCTATAGCTGTCATCCAGCCTTCGATAATGCATCCACATTGTTTGGGCCTCTTGAAGTTTTGTAAATAAGTACTCTTAATCATGCTTTTCTTTGCTTTTGCTCCATATATGCTATAGGAGGAGCTTTCAGAACTGCAGAATCCCAATCTTGCTTCAACTATGAGAGAACAGCAACGTCGAGCCTTGGAATTTTGGGAAAAAAATTGGGTATTTAGCAGCCTCTGTATCTTGTATCTCAGAAAGCATTCTTGTTATCATTATTATTGTGCAGAATAAAATGCTTACCCTAACTTTTAACTGATTGTGCATATGTTGTATGTGTGCTAACCTGAATCAGCACTCTGGTGTACCACTAAAAATTAAACGCCTTGCTCGTGATCCTGAGAGATTCATTTGGGCATTGAGTATGGCACAATCACGATGCTTTGGCATGCAAATGAGAATTGGTGCACTTGTTCAAGATGCAAACATGCTAATTCCATATGCAGGTAAGCTTGTATCCACCTACACTCTTTGATTAAAAAAAATTTCTTGTGAATATATTATAAAATTAGATGAGTAATCGCAATTTAGAGGGGGGAATCAAGAACTTATCTTTGTCCTAATGAGTTATATATTATGTTCTTAATTCAGTTTGGTTTTGCTCTTAGACATCTTTGTCCATTTGAAATTGGTAAGATGTTGATGAAGACACAACATTGTGTATGAAATTCATTTTCTTTTTGCATTAGTTGTATTATGTACGTATACTATTTCTGTTTTCACTTATTGGGATTTTGAAGCAAATGGTTTCCTTAAACTATCTGCGTTCACTTACTATTTATATTCCCCATTTTGTTATTAGATGGCTGTCTAATCAATTTGCTAAATTCTGCAGATATGCTAAACCATTCCTTTGAGCCAAATTGTTTTTTCCATTGGCGTTTTAAGGATCGCATGCTTGAAGTGATGATAAATGCTGGAAAACGGATTAAGAAAGGTGACGAGGTAATGCCTATTCTGTTTTCTCAATTGATGTTGATAATTTCCTTTCATAGGTATATGCTTGCAAGGAGTCTTATGCTAAGGCTTTTAGTTTACATATATGAAGATGATCTGCTACTAATTTGGAGGAATATTTACAGATGACTGTCAATTACATGAGTGGACAACAGAATGACGTGTTGATGCAAAGATATGGTTTCTCTTCACCTGTGGTAATGTGCTCTTGGCCATATTCTACTAAAAAGAAATACTATGTACCTTTTTTTTTCTTTTATCCTATTCTTTTACTGATTTGAATTGTCAATCTAGTCAAGTTAGAGAGTAACATGGTAAAAGAAAGAGATTATTTTTATTATTTCTACTTCGGTTGAGCATGTTCCGTAATTGTGGTGATATTTGTACTTCTCTAAAATTGAGTGCTCTTATTCTGGCTTGGAATTGCAGAATCCTTGGGATGTGATTCAGTTCTCTGGAAATGCACGTATTCATTTGGATTCCTTCTTGTCAGTATTCAATATATCTGGACTTCCTGAAGAGTACTATCATAACTGTATGAGATCTCTCTGTGCCTTGTTCTATATTTGTTGTAATATAAATTTTAAACCAAGCAGCATCATAGTTTGAAAGGTCTGTATAAAACTTATAGCAGGTCGCCTATCTAATGATGGAGATACATTTGTTGATGGAGCAATCATAGCAGCGGCAAGAACATTGCCCACTTGGTCAGATGGGGATGTGCCTCCAATCCCAAGCATGGAAAGAAGATCTGTAAAGGAGTTACAGGAAGAATGCCGACAGATGCTTGCAGCGTATCATACTAACTCTAAGCAAGACCAAAAAATTCTAGGTGAGGTTGCCATGCAGATCCTCAAATATTTGGGGAAACATCGTGGCCATTATATTTTTCTTGTTTTGGTTTCTCTGGTAACTTATGGGTAAAACCAACTCTATCTTGGCATTGGAAATTCATGTTTCTTCCCATCTTACTCTCTACAGATTCGATGTCGGATGCTAGTAGGACGCTTGAAGCTGCAATCAAGTATGTAATCATCCCATTATTCATCCCAGAGCTTTTTGGTCTGTAGGGCAAACTAGGGCAAACTAAAACCATTCCGAATGATTTAATTGCTGATCTGGACTTATGCAGGTATAGGTTGCACAGGAAGTTGTTCGTAGAGAAGGTCATGCAAGCGCTGGATATATACCAAGAGCGGATGTTATTCTGATAAAACTTGTAAGTTTACAAAAGCTAGGAAATTTTTGTGGCATGCCAATTTGCCAAAACTCTGCTTGTGACAGGAATTTTCATGTCTAACATATATGAATGTGGGCAGAGATTTTTCTAGTTTTTCTTATCTTTTCAAATGGTAGCTGATCATGTTAACGAACCCGCTGGTGGTTGGTAGGACGAATGTGACATGAAATAGAAAACAGAAGAAGGGCTGCAAATTGAGTGAAACACATGATATCATTTGTTTGACACTAGTGCAAATTGAATACTTTTTTTTTTACTTCTTTGTTAATGGGGAGATAGACTTGAATTTCACACCTATTCCTTTCATTTATACTATCGAATGAGTTGTGTAGTGCAACAAATGTGATCATGTACCTTTCTACGACTTCTATGATGACTAACAGAAGAATCGTGCCTTCTAAAGTGTTAAAATGCACCCTTGCATCGCCTAGGGATTTTACATGAGATTTCTTGCATATTATTGAACTTATGAATGTCCAGTTAATGGTTGAAACTTATGTGAACTTTTGCCATTGATTAGGAGTTTAAATTTACGATTTATGAGTAAAACTTTTATGTTACATGCTTCATACTCATTCAATAATGTCTATCCCATCGGAGAAATATGAAAGGTTTTCTCCTTGACCAGCTTGTTAAAAAGTTTTAATAAAATAAATATGAATTTGTGACACAATTTCTCATTCACGGAAATTTTTTTGTCAAACTAGCCAACTTATATGTTTAGTTGCTTCCAATATCCCACCTATACAAGTATAAAAGTGAAATGCATTGGATGTCTAATAATCCTATCACAATAGGCATGCAGCATGGGCGTTATACAAGGATTTTGAAACATCTTCCTAATTGTGGACACAAGGCAAGCAGAATCTTGTTTCACAATCCTTTTGTTTTTGTCTTATTTGTTTTTCCTCTGCTTTTATGTGTGTTGTTATCATTACATCGATCCTTGATTTTCTTCAAACCAAAATTTACATCTGAGCACTTTTATCTACACACTGAAAAGAGTGTTATGTGAAGAAAATCTCATGTATACAGATATCTCCCAAATTCATCCTAAACTGGTTTCGCGTAATCGAAGTGGTCCTTTCCCTGCTTTGCCTAAGAGCTAGCTAATAAATGGAGATGAGTATCCACAGGAAGCTTTTGCATGAAAACTGTCCGGCTTAAGGATGCCTTTTCACGGAATTGATTTCTATAGCTTTTGTTTCTGCATATAGCAGCAACATTTTTTAGAGACCATTGTTGACAACATGCTTACTGGAAGGAAGACTGCTCACAAAGTCAAAGATTTAGTTACCTTATGCTGAGCCATGTCGTAGGGGTTCTGCCTCGGCGGTATGGACTTGATGGGCTTGCTGACTGTCCAAAGGCATGTATTGGGACATGATAGCCATGATCTCCGAGTCCATGTAAGACTGCAAGTGCAAGTAAAAAATTTTAACCAGGGCACAGTTCCTAGTTTAGTACACAAATTAACTAAAGATGGATACAGAGCTGGTCAAAGGAGCATCTTTAGACATACTCGAAGCCTGTATTTGTAGAAGATATAACCAGCTAGGCCAACTCCCACCACAGCCGCAAGGACCAAGAAAGTTAAAAACCATGCAAATCTCGACCCGTGCCTCTCTGCATTTAAATGGATGAACAAACATCAAGACATATATCTTGCAGGATGGCCAACATCCCCATCAGTTTGAAACTAAGTATCAACGTTGCCCGGTGACAATCAACACAAGGCCCGCCATAAAATGAGCTAATTAGAGCATTAAAGAGAAAGAATGTCATATTAACATTTAAATAAAAATTCGACAGCATTTAGGAAAGAAATTTACAATCATGTTCACATTTAAATATAGTTTTACTGATCCTCTAAATAAACAGTGCTGGCTATCTCATCATGTGAATATCATAATTAGTCATTTTTAAATTTTCTGGACATGACAATGAATTAGTGATTATGACTCAAATGTGCTGTCTTACCAATACAAGTATCTTGATCCTTCATATACAACTGTCCTCCCTTACATTTGCAGTAGTACCCACCCCAAGTGTTCTTACAGCTGCAACCATCACACTGACAAGCAGTACGCTCCTTGCATTCGTTGATATCTGATGCATGGTGAGAAAACAAAAATGAAGATGCTGTTTTATGGATATTAGGTTTCAAAAAGCCTTGAAAAATTGAATATTTTTTCCACAAGAAGAAAATTATTCTTCAATAGATTAGTCACATTGGAACTCAAAATCACCTTCACATTTATGACCATCCCCTTGAAAGCCTTGTGGACATTTGCAGCCAGATAACTCAGAATTCTGTTTGTGTAACAAAGGGAAAAAAATAAATAAATAAATAAAGAAGGAAAAACATGAAGTTTGGAGGTCTAATCTCATGAAACTGCAACAGAACTCTCTATAATAAATACGTTTAAAAACAAAACAAAAAATGAGAAATGTGTCCCAGAAGCACAGAGAACCAATAATAAAGTGAAAGATTATGATAAACATCACTGAACTGAGCAAGCCGAGAAAATTAATCCATTTCTAGAGTCTGACCAACACCCTCCGTTGTTTATTGCACACCTTGCAGGTCCAAAAGCTGTCAAGAAAGGAGTAAATATTTTAGGAATAACTCTCTTCCACAAATAAATCAAAAGGAATATTTGCTTCTTCTTTTTTTGTCATTAAGAGAAGGTTTACCATGACAAGATGTATAACCATCGCCTCGATACTGAACACCGCTCACTACAGGGCACTCACAAACTCTTCCCCTAAATGTGTCCTGACAAAAGGAACCAATTAACATGCACTTAGAATCTGTAATTCATATAGGAACATTGTCATATGTGGCATAAACTATAAAAGTCAAATGTAAAATTTTCTGCATACCTTGCAAGCAGTTAAATTAGATTTGTTGTCCTGCCAACACCCACCATTCCTCTCAAGACACTCATTTGTCTCAAGATCTGTTGAAGTAACACAGAGGATTGGGAGGTGGAAAGGGAAGGAGAGGAAAGGAAAAGGACATCAGTACATTATCCAAACATCAAGAAACAAACATCAGTATAGACTGGAAATGAAACAAGCACACCAACCTCCGCTCAAACAAATTGGAGGATCAGCTGTCTCCTTAAATCCAGCACATATAGCCTTTAGCACAGAAGTTCTCTCCAATTTTCCTTCAGATCAATAAAAACAAAAACATTAGCATTCTGTTGAAGTATAATCAATAGAGGTACCAAGGAAGCTGTAACAAACCTCGATACTGAACATTATTAATAACCAACGTCGGCAAGATGGTAACATCACCACGAGATCCTCGCCCAACCTAAATATAACAGAGAAAAAGGAAAGCAATAATAAGATAATCTGTTGAATATTGTGGTTACAAGTACACTGATCCAAGAACAGTGGTGGGTCTCAACAAAAAGAGGTCAAGAACATAGGGAAATGGAGAAAAAGAAGCAAGTATGACCTGGATTTCTTGTTCTGCTTTTAGCACTGCATTCTCAACATCATCTTCAGGATTGCCCATACATTTTTTAATCTTGTCAACAGGTAAATCTGCAGCAATCAGATTAAATCTATTAAAAACACAAAACAATCATTATTCCATACACAGCAATAACAAAACATGCCATTTACCAAGTGATTTCATGACATCCTCAGCGCATTCTTTGCTGTACTTCTTTTCTTTCATGGAACATCTGATATGGAAGTCTGTCACATAATCCCACCAAACCCATGACCGGTTGCTCTCATTCGCAACTCTATGCACACAAAGCTGCCTCAAGTTCTCATATACTACATCCTTCCCTTGATACCCTTCCCCTAAATCTCTCTCTGGATCTGGTGCACAGTATCTCCCATGGTTTATGCACTGCGACTTGCATTGAGTTGTAAGGGTGAAAGCCTGAGGGCAATACCAAGTTATATAATGTGGAGTGAAGAGAGTGTAACCCCCTCTCTCAAGAATCTGAGCATGGCCCTTGAAATTTTTCACAAAAGTCATTTGTTCATCGCATCGAGCCCCGCACTCATCATTGCTGTTTGTCCAGAACTCGTATTCAACTCTTTGATCGGGGTGGGGGACTGACTCTCTCCAGTCAAGTTTCACCACAACATCGTTGCTCTTCTTTAAAGCTTCCTTCAAGCTATCACCAAAGGATTTCTCTATCAAAGCAGATGGAATTCTTATCTTCTCTATGTAACCATCTGCATCAGTGCTCTCCTCTGGAGAATCCATTGTTATTAGAGGCTCTTCAATATTGTCAGCCACTAAAACAGCTGTAGCTCCAGCCTCTTGAGCATTCCAGACCTTTAAAGCAAAGTAGCAACCTACAAGGGCAATAGAATAAAGTTGTCTAAGTAGAATCCAAGTAGCATGGTTTTGTAACATAAGACTCACAACAAGGTTCAATTACTTATGATTAGACAATGTAAAAGGCTATTGGAATTATTGTTCTGATTCATTTCATCCAATTCAGGATTTAAATAGCAACAACCATAGCGTAAAGAAACGAAAGTTCATGCAGCTTTGACCCGAGAAATAAAAACAAAATGAGCATCTGAATTGGACAGTTAGAAAGAGCTCAGTATCTATTTCACATCAATTGAACAGTTAATGAAAAGCTAAAACCAAAAGGCAATACAATAGAAGACTGAAAAGACTTTTGATGAGTCGATGTTAAATAGAACAAACAGTCGGAGAACAGGGGAAAAGCAGAGCTACTATATGAAAGCATGCTTAAATTCACAACCTCCAATAACGAATCCGAAAAAAGAAACCATTTTTGAAAACATCTCATGCTAGCTGGAGCAGTCACTAAATTGAACAAATTCAATTCAAACAAGGAAACTTAAGGCTCACCCTTCTCCCAATCTGTAGGAATTCAAAACACCCAACAAAAAAGGAAATTAAACTATAAAAGAAAAACCGTTGCAAAAACAAACAAATACCCATTTCTGGACAGACTTTATTGCATGATCATCAATCAAATTCTTAACAAGCATAGCAATGGGGGAAAATGATCTTGATTCTCAAGTCAACTTGCTGAGACATAACAGGAGAGAAAGCATAAGGACTCTGAAATTTACGAATTACAGAGAGAATTAGAACGAATTGATTTACCTCCACGATCAAGAACAGCAATGGTGGAGCGAGAATTCCGAGACTTGAAAGGCTTATCACCCTCAAAAGCTTCACACCCATTAGACCCTTTCTCAGGATAAACAACAGCACCCACCAAAGAGCCTCCATAGTCTGGCAGACCAAAGTTGCCTATAGCACCATCATGCTTAGAACTAAGACTCATTGGATACAGAACACTAATACTTCCCGTCTCCACCACAAACCGTGCATGAACATGGCTCTGGAGAATTGCTAATAATAACACAAGCAAAGCTGTGAGCTTCGGGAGAAAAGCCATGCAAGCAGAGGCGTTGATCACCTGCTATGGCGAGGCTCCTCTGTGTTTTTGGGTTAATGGGTTTTTGTCTTCTGTGTGTTTTGGGGTCTGAGAAGAGGTGGAGGCAAATGAGGACGTGTCTGAGTGGATTTTGCAACGGTCTACGGGTGGAGAGTGGTGAAATAAGAAAGGTTGGTTGAGAGAGAGAGAGAGAGAGAGAGAGAGAGAGAGAGAGAGAGAAGTGTAGG